GGTGTAGAGAAGATATACATTACTACGAGGATTTGTACCTTACTGTAAAGAAGATATACATTACTATGAGAGTTTGTACCTTGGTGTAGAGAAGATATACATTACTATGAGGATTTGTACATTGCTGTAGAGAAGATATACATTACTACGAGGATTTGTACCTTACTGTAGAGAAGATATACATTACTACGAGGATTTGTACCTTACTGTAGAGAAGATATACATTACTATGAGGATTTGTACCTTGGTGTAGAGAAGATATACATTACTATGAGGATTTGTACCTTGGTGTAGAGAAGATATACATTACTATGAGGATTTGTACCTTGGTGTAGAGAAGATATACATTAATGAGAAAAATGTGTACCTTACTGTAGATTTTATCATATCGTCCATCTGTCAGTGTAACTTACCGGTTATTTTATCGATTATACTTTCTCTAGTTCTGTTAATTCTTTTATAATTGTAACACCTTTTGTATTTGTTCAGCAGCTCATTTTTGTTCTACATCTTATTGATTCTTGTTTAATTTTATCCAATTCCACTACATCATTCCCTAGATCCTGAATTTCGATTCCTTCTTGTACTAAATCATTCGTTTTTTCCAATACTCTTTATCTTATTATACTACTGTTTAGTTTCAAGTAAGATGGCCCACGAACACTTTCTTTCAATGGCAGGTCAAGAGTAACTGTAGAATGATAGGCACATGGTACAATGCCATGAATTATGAAATAGTTCTCTGATCCACGGCAATTGGGTAAATAAACGCCGCTAAGGGCAATACAAGTAGTATGACGTTACAGTTCGGAAAGTCAGTAGAAACTTTTAATTCTCTTCGTTAGTGACATCACGCCTAACAACATCTGAATACATATGCAAGTTGTTTTTCAAATTTTAGTAACATGGTGTAATTGGTAACCATATCAATCACTTGTAAACCGCCATTGTAATCTGAAAAATACGCACCTAATAAGTTAACGGGTAGATCAATCAATGCTATCAGATAGTTAGTTTGAAACAGGTGAGTTAGAAACAAACGTTCTCCCCCATTACGCTATGATTTTTTGTGCCACCACAACTCAAGATTTTTTTCGATATTTTTGACCTGAAAGTTATCGTATGATGACGCTAATATGTGGATGAAGTTTCCAATATACTGGGTTAATACACAAGCTAATATCGCTATTGACTATCTAATTTACATGGGAGTATGCATAAAAACCATTGTCCGTCCAGAAATTACACTGACGCTCGTGATAACGGTGCACGGTTGTTACGTTGGTCGACAAAAGTGCGACTTGCGAGGGGAATGGTTCCCATTTCGCCGATGTTGGCATGGTGCCTTCTTTTGCAAAATTGGTCAATAAACCTTGAAGAAGATTTTGAAAAGCCATGTCGTTTTTTGTGTGAGCTGGAAGAAAAAATGGAACGTTTCCGAAAAATGCAAACACGTCCCACATGTGAAAAGCGTAACGGGGTTCCCATGGCAACCCAAAGAATGAAAAGGGTCGAGACGGACTTAACGTTACAATGTATCTATAAACAGGCGATGTCAATGATTTTGCCGCTTCCATGGCAACAATATCATTGCCACAAATAACACGAATGTCACTTCCCATAGTCGTATAAATGAGTTCGGGGGTTGCATCCGGGTCGTCGTGGGGGTATAGTTTCATGGCTTCCATTGTGACCGCCTCGCCGAATGTATCCAGTCTTTCTGCTCGGGAAAAATAAATTAATTAATAGTATTCTCGTGTGTTTAGATATTTTTTCGTCCATATTGCATCAACAAATTATGCGGATATTCAGAGAGGCTGGCAATGACCATACTACGCTCTGCAAACATGAAATTAATGATTCACGGTGTACTTCTGACCTAGTATTGCGTGGAGCGAATGAATTCTTAGTTTTAATGTTGATTTTAAACACTTATAAATCTATAGAAATAAGTACTTTATAACTTTATAAGCCTCGGACATGTGTTCTCACGCATCGGATGATCGTTACAAACCTCTCTGAATACCTACACAATTAAACATGCAGTATGGACGAAAGCGTGTGCCCATGCATCAAAATAAAACAATAAAACCCCTCCTATGCATGTACAGTTATTTCAAGTACCAATGCCCGGTGCACACGTACACGTTTTACAAAATAGTGTTTTTAATGAATTTTCATATGTGTGCTACAAGAAAAAAGTTTAAGATTTTGACAAATCATAGTTCAATTTATTAATCGTCATCATCATCATCATCATACAGCGTCACACATCAAAAATACAAACTATACATGTTCTCGGCCATATTGCATCTTTATCAATCAAACAATGTGTTGGCGATCCGCTCCGCTAGGATTGCCCTTATAATCACTTTTGTCGTTTTGTGTGTGTGTGTGTCTGTGTGTGTACATTTCCAGTGTTCCAGTGTTCACGTATTATTTCTTCTGTGATTTTTTTGGCTTGGCCGATTTCGTTCAAACTGATTTTTGGATAGCTTCGCGCCAAATGTATCTCCTCCTACAAATTTGGGATAAAACACTTCAAACATAGCTCATTCTACTCAGCTTGAGTGTGGGCACAAAGTTACCATTTGAATTTTTGATATCTGTTTTCATTACCGAGAAATTTGACCCCAAAGTTGGGGTAACTTTTCACCAGCAACGGCTCAGCTGGTTTTGTTCATACTTCACAGGTAGGTCGTGCCGTCACTAATTGGAAAAAAATCCTGGCCCACCACTGCCATTGCAACATCCAAAAACTGATTTTTGAATACTTTCGCCCCAAATGTATTACCTCCTACCAGTTTTGTACACAGTCAGCTGGCATCGGTGTCGCTGGGTGTATATGATAAAGGGAAGTTGTGCAACCAAATTTGCCGAGTTCGCAGTTTTTCGCCAATAAAAAAATAACTAAGGCAACAACTCACGGTTTTTCAGCATTTTTGTAATAAAGACATTATTCTCTATCAATAATCCGCCCAAAACAGGAACATTTCTACTAATTCTTGTGTTTTTTAGACGTTTTTCGAAAAACCTGCTATTAGGCTGCAAAAGTAGAACATTCCGGAGGGGGCGAAAGGGAAGAGCCAAATTTAACGCGTAAAAATAGAACGCGTATTTTGACCTCTATGCGGTCGTTGCCAAAGAGCCCTGCGTCCATCGCCTGGCGATGCTCTTCCGTTTCACCAGTTGCGT